TGTATATCATCTATAAGAAGTTAATTTATTATTTATTTACAATTTTATTATGAAGATACTGCGATTCTTGCTTAAATATATATTAAATATTTACTATTAAATTCACATAATTTTTAAAACATCAACATTTGTCAAATTTGTTAACAAGCGTAGTAATCTTGTGAGAGTCGCTTTGTATTATTTTGGGAAGCATACTGAGTATGAATTATTTCGAAAGATTTCGTTTGTGCTAGAGTTCATTGATACCAGAGATCTTGGCAACTGGAAACGATAGTGTGTGTGTGTATTTACAAGCGTCTATTTAATTTTGAACCAGACGTATCAAATTCATTAGATATTTAAGTCATAATTCTCATCGCATTCATTATATTTATAGTCCTACAAATATTGTAAATTAAAATAAAAAGGATTTACAGAGTAAGTAAATTTTTGTACAAATTCTTTTATAGCAAAAATAATATCGAATAATGATATCGCAGCGGTTTCACGTAGTAAATCATTCTTACGTTTTTAATGACACGCGTTTACAGTAAGCGATATTTTTTCCCTATAAATCTCATTTTATTGTTTTGCCAGGTCATTTTACCCACCGTAAAATCGAAAGAGGAAGTCTACGGGCTCCGAATGCGCGTAGACCGAAAGTCTTAAGCTTTTTAGTTAGATACCGAGCGTAGGTCGGCTAAATATAGCGCTATTTCTATTTTCGATCAGCGCGGCGTTTGTACACGCGTCCTACAAGCCAGCAGATATATTCGCAATAACTACGTCTGGTATTTCGGAAACTGACACGGATATTAACGATTGTAATCACCAACCTGGTTGCGCCGATTTGACCATACATACATTGAAGCCTTATCATTCGACAATCATAATCCTGAGAGAGAGTGTCACGGAGGCATATCGATCAACCTCGCGAAAGAGCATATTTCTCGTGTATCATGACTTTTTTCAAAATAACGATTTGGTGTAATCTAAGGATGTAGTTTGAGAATTTTTAACTTGTTAATGCTTTAGAGCGCTTAAATTTTTAATGCAAAACATACGCGAAATCAGCGATAGACTTTAAGCTTTGAGCCAAATATATCTATCTAAATGTATCTATTATATGACTCATACCACAAAAACAAATGTTAGTTTGTAAATATAATTTAAGAATAATTTATACATCGTTCTTTGAGGATTCGCGAAAATTTTCCGCATTTCATTTCTACGCGCATGCATAACATATCCGATCATAACTAGAGTAAATTAAGAATATTAAGCTAATAATTTAATCACTAATTTGAAAAATGTGATAAACCAAAAATATTGAGTAAATTAAGATGAAAATTAAGACGAGCTATTCGCGAATAATTTGTGATTGAACTAGATTTTTTTAATTGAAAGAAGTATGAATGTTATTATTGGAATCGCGAAAGCGGCGTATTTTTTTTGCGATTTAAAACATCGACATCTTGATCTTGGTCACGCAAGGAAACGAAAGACAGGCAAATCTGCTGGGAAATTTAATGCGAGGATCATCCGCTGACATTAACAGTTCGCTGGATCCAGGACCTCGGATGCTGTGTCCAAAAATAAAATCTCTCTGCCGAATTGATGATCAAAAATAACCGGTGTTCCGAATGAATGTCGCTGACAGAACCGTCTGCACCGGTTTACCGGTCAGCAATTATTATTGGAACTCACCCTCATCTATTGACCCGATGACATCATCGGCGTCATGTTGTAAACGCGAACTCTATATACACGCCGTTAAATAAATTTCGCAATGATTTGAATATAATGTAGATGAGGTTTATTCGTCGCACTTGTCACGTCAAGTATTTCAAGTAGATTTATAAAAATACTTGATATTTTACACACTATTAAATTCTTTTCTAATAAATTCTCGCACAAAAGATCATCTTTTCATTAATTCCTTTTTTTAAATAAAACTGGAAGTCTGCAATATAAAAAATCAAGAAATTTTTCTCTGAATGAAAAAATTGTATTAAAGTTATTAGAAATTATATTTTGATTAATATCTAATTTGTTTTTAACTTTATTTGGCAAATAAAATTAAAATAAAACTTTAAAGTGTACGTTATTGTAATTTAAATTCATTATTAAAATATATTATTTGACAAACAATAAAAATACGATTAATTTTTGTTGTCAATTTAAAGCTTTTAGGCCTTTATTGACGTCATATTTGAATTATGACATCAGAAGCGAAAAATCATATGAGTTTATTTTCGTTGAAAATGTAGAATACATGCATGTATTTTATTAATACATATTACGAGTGATCGCATCCAAAAACATAAATATTCCGATGTATTTCGCAACAAAAAAATTCATGAGATTTTTAACGTCATAATTCAATAAAGTAGTGAGAACACAGGAACTTTAATAATTCACCTAATGTTAAAATTAGCAATAGTTGCATTAGCATTACTTGATTTTATCAATCGTAAAGCATAAACCACAAAGCACAAATAAAATCATATGATCCAAATTTCAGTATCGTAAATAAATAAATAGGTTATAATTATGCTAATTATTATCCTAATACTAATACAATTCTCATAAATTACGCAACATTTTGTAATCATCGCATATGAAAACATGGCTACATAAATCATAAAATACGAGAAGAGTAACAAGTCTTTTAATAATTTTAACAATAAATTCTTTTATTATTTTAATTATATATATTTCATCAAGCTTATAATTTATCGACAAAATTTTTAATTTTTTATGTCCTACAACTCTCGAAAACTATCGTTACTTTAAAAAATGGAGGTAAAGGGAAATTTACTACAAATTTTTCAAGAATTCGGATCATTAAAATTAACATCACGTATTTGGGGGAATAATTGGTACATCTAATGTAAATTACCGATAAAACCACGAATTCTCGATACGATCCAATATGAATGTTCCGCGATTTCGATGATCGGTTGATCTCATACGCACGGAGACATTAATCGGATGCTGCTGCGAGCAGATCTCACGTACTCCAACAGTTGCACTTTTTTATTCGTTTTTTTTTTTCGTCGGTGATACACTGCGATCGATCGCGAGCGAAGAATTTAATCGAGATTAGCAGAATAAGATTGCGAGGGGGTGGTGAGAGACAAGAACGATTTCCACGTTGGATCGAGTCGCGGACCACGGGAGACTGGCTCCGGCGCTGGATCATCGATTCAGGATGGGCGTCGCGACGCTCTCTCTTTCTCTCTCTCTTTCTCTCTCTCTCTCTTTTGCCACCCGTTTATATTTAACTTTGGCATCACTCGACATTTGACTTCGCCATGCTACTCGTCTTTTACCCCTCGTCCTCCAACGAAGTCGTTCTCTTTCTTATCTTGCGTTTTGCCCCGTTTTCTCCCTTTCTCTTTCGACCCGCTTCTTCTTTTTAGTTTTTCTGCCCCGTGTCGAGGAACGTGGACGAGCCCGCGAGGTAACACACTATTATCACCGATGAGCCAACAGCCGTCGCTCATCGATTATTTTGGTCGTTTATTACGAAAATGCGTTCAATGACACGCGATTTAATAATGATCAAGTCTTTGCGGACATAATTTTGCGGTGCGACCACCCAATCACGTATGTTCTTTCGTCAAGAAGCAGCAAAAGTGTGTCAGTTTCAAGAGATGCGATATTTCGATTTGTAGATTAAATGAAAATATGACGACGAAGATCGCAGACAAAACAGTATTATATTCTTATCCCACTTAATTTAGCTTAATTAATAGTTAATGCTATAATTTTCAACAACATCCCATACAATTGTTTCATACAATACAAATGATTAAATTGTCTCAAATTGTCTCTAATGCAATCATGTAGCAAATATAACTGTTGCTTTTAAATTATAATTATAATTAATAAAATAAATGTAGTTATATATTCATTGATTTCTGACGGATTACAATTGCTTTCGTTGTCGAATTACACACAACTTACATATTATATAAACCTTATATTATTATAAGTCTAGCTTCAATCTCTAAATTTATGCTAAATTATCATTAATTAACTTATTTATAAATTTTATTTATTTTTTATTTTTTATCTAGAGTTTATTATTTATTTATCCGTCAGATTGCGCGCGCGTAAATCCTATTTGATTTCTGCCACCAATCTGATGTTAAATTATGTTCTGCTGGCAAATTACAAGTCTAATGCGGACATAACTGATGCCACTTTGCTTGTAACTTTTGAGCGAAACTGTTGCCAATTTGCTGGTATATTGTGCGCATTTTGCTTATTAAGATGTAATATGCAATATTATAAATACATAATTTAACTTCTAATTAATGTAACATAAAATTACAATAAATGTAACAATTTATTATTAGAATGAAATATATAATTTTTTAAATAAATCATATTTTTTTGTCAGGAATACACAATGTGAATATCGTAAAATTAAACATTTAACTTATAATGCAAAAGTAACATCGTACCATCGTCTGAAATGCGTTATGCACTTTTATCTTCTATTTCCAATATTATTAACATTCAAATTGAATTTTGTTTTAATTTTTCGGAGGAAATGGACCATCTCCGATGGGCCTATGATCATTCCAAATTTTACCGGGGATACATTTAGCCAAATATGCCAAGCATATTAAATCACGACAGCATTGTTCGGTAAGTTGACACTACAATCATAACAATTTATTATATAGTAAAATTTTGTTATATAGAAATTAAAAATGCGCATATTAACTATAATATTGTAATTCAAAATACATAAAGAATTTTTAGAATATATGTATGTATATGTTTAATATAACACAATTTATATATAGAAAAAACTAAGCGCTAATACAATTATTTTGCCGTTAATTATACTTACATATCCGAGCCAGGGAGAGCAGATAGACTTAGGATTCGTTGGATTAGAAGTAGTAACTACGTCGATAACGGTCATAGCGATTAAAACAAGTACCAGATACTTATTCATTTTAATGTAAAAATGTAAAACTGTAACATTAAAGAGTAAAATAAATTAACAATATCTAAATATATTAGGCTAATATAACAATCAAAAACGTAAAGTAATTAACAATATGATTAAAGAACGTGATTGAAAAACGTGCACATTTTTCAATGCAATAAGCTTTAGTAGATTTAAAATTCTGGCCAATGCAGATAATATAGTAAGTAAAAGATACCAAAAATTTTTAAAATTTTAAAAATGTTTGCGTTTGGTTAAATAAACCTATTCAACTACAATTTTATAAAGTACTCTCGTCAATTTATAAGACAATCACGATAATCTTATATGATCTTATCTTATCTAATTTAAACTGAGAACTGATAAAGTCTTCTATTCATAAATTTATTTTCTCTGATTTCCAATCTCCTTGCTTATACAAGTTCCAAAGTTAAACGATCAAATTTTTGACAATATGTTTTAGAGTATATGGCAAGAAGAAATGAATGTTATACCTATAAACATTGATCCGATCGTTTTAAAAAGATATAATGAAAATATTTGAAAAATATTAATATAAAAATAATAACGCGTGGGGATTCACTGTTAATATATAGCAATATATAAGATTAAATCGGCGATAAATCCTATAATTTATCTAATATTCTAGTTAGATTTTATATTAAAAAGCAGAAGGTCATATAATAATTAATTTTCAATAAGAATTTATTGAAAATACTGTTTTTGACATTCACTGAATTAAAGCAAAGATATGAAATTCGTACAGTATTAAATTTTATCTTTCAATGATGTCAAGTTATTAGACAAAAAACATTTTGAAGTGGAAAATTAAACAAATTTTTATTTTTTTAATGTAACGTGATCGAAAATATTTTCAGATCGATGTTTATATAACATTTGTTTCTCTTGTTTCTAGAGAACTATAGAATATATAGCAAAGTTTGATTGTTTAACTTTGGAACATCCTGTATATATACTTACAATTAGTATCGGTTATGATATCTCGGAAAAGATATGTGTGCATATGTGTGTGTGTGTAGATCTGTGATCTGATTTACTCAACTTGATTAATACTATCTGCGCAAAAACATTTTGTAAGTATAACATAAACAAAGCTCGATTAAATTCGAATTAAGAATCAATGATAGAATCAAAATTATATTTGTAAAAGAAAAGTAAAAAAATGCATAAAAAAATAAAAAAGAATAAAAATCTAGACAAATAAAATTTAGAAAGATATGATAAATAATATTATAGTGTGCATAAAGTTTCTATAAAATTAAATTTTAAAAATATATAAATTAAAACTTTCTTTGAGAGAATTAGAGAGGAGCGAGGGAAGGAAAGGAAGGAGAGAAGATGAGTGGGAAGGACAGAAAAATATGTTATCATTTTCAGTTGCCAGGTGGTTTAATGTCTGTGTGTCTATAAATACACAACAAAATAAAATTCTAAATACTTTATTAATCCGCAAGTTTTTATTCCATTCAGAATAGAGATAATATAATAGAAAATTCATAATAGAAAAATTCATAATAGAAAAATTCACAAAGCTTCGGAATTCGATATCGGAGTCCAATCGTGTATAAGTTAGTTATAAAAAATGTGTGTTAAAAAAAAAGATATGTAGTAATTTTCTTTTTTTAAATACGTTATATATCAAAAAGATATATGTGTTTTTATTATGATTTCAAAGTGTTTTAAATTTATAGGACAAAAATTGTGATCCTATTAATGATGAAAATGGCGTTAATCACGATCCTTTCGAATATTCTTTGTTTTGCTTTTTATAAAAAGGATACCTCAAGTATAGCAATAATGCGATTCATATATTGCTATTCAATATTTAGTACTTAACTGACAATTTCTATGTACAATTCAAGAAACATGATAAAAATGTATAAACATATAGGATATTTAGCAGGCATCCAAATGTATTTTTGTATACAAACAAAGCTATAGTAAATATAATAAAATTTGCAATGTTTCTAGTATTCATAATTAATAGGAACTATGTTTAAAGATATTTAAAGAAACTATAGAATATATTTATTTTAAATACGAAATAAGTTTATTGATAAAATTATGAAACTGCGCGTTTAATAAAATCAACTTTTTTTCGTAGTATAAATAGCGTACTATCACTGAAGCATGTAATTAACTCTTCAAACATTGCGATATATCGACTTCCATTGTAAATTACGGTCGGCACAGCGTATCGTGATCGAACGACATATATATTTATAAATATATTATAACAGAACATTATATATATACAAAACAACAAGCGTTTCGGCAGCGGCCGCTATTGACTCGATTTCTCTCTTGTAATGTATACATTGATAACAATATATATATAACACAAGTTAACGTCATTTTAAATTTAGCTAATTAACTAACGATTATCTTACATTGCCGTATCGTTTTCTCATTTTTATGAGTACGATAGTAAAAAATTGGCTAGTTTGGTAGATAAAAAGGTACGAATATTCATTGTACATCGTTCATCGATTGACTTTCTTGTGCGCTTTCGTTTCCCACCTGTGTAGAATGAGGTAGTTCAGCTTTCGTAGCCAATTCTAACGTGTACATCCATCTAAAAATCAATCAAATATCTCATGTATATATATATGTGTGTGTGTGTGTGTGTGTATAAATATATATATATAAATCAGATTATATAAACATCTAATTTTTGCACTCACTTTTCTTTGTCTTTCTGAGAGGACGCTTGGAGATAGTAATATTTCCTAGAATGGTGCATCTTGAACGCTCTTATCCGATCTTTCATGTTCAAGGGATCCTCGTCGGAGAGTTTTGTACCTTCAGTGACCATAAAGCCTGGCATTGGCGTCGCTGTCATGGCCATGCTCTCCGACTCTGATTTGAACGAATACAGAACAAAGTCGACGTGTAATGCAAACCATCGTTTTGTCCACGGTTTACTGGCCTGCGTTTTCAGTAATAAGTATCCGGATAATACTGATGGCGCGCTCGCTGATACCTGCAGTAAACTTGGCACCGGTCCAGAAGGTGAAGACGGTGATTTAGTGAGAGGTTGAGTAAGCGCGGCATGGCATAATCTGCACACTCTCATATTCTTATTGTCTTCAAATAATAATTTCTGATTTGAGCATTTACTACAAACCACCTGAAAAAAAAATAAAACGCATTATCACAGATTTTTAATTATTGTTATTATAATTAAATAATTTCTAATGGAAAATTAATTATAGAGTGTAGTACTTACTATTCCACAAGCCCGGCAGTTGTGCTTTCGTTTCATCACAGAAAAAATAACTTCGCAAACCATGCATCTGGTTACATCATCAGCTTTAACTAAAGAAGTCTTAACGCTACCAGTTTTCAGACTGGCTTTGCGTCTCATAATCTCTTGCATTGTTTGGAACAATGCATCCAACCACGCTGCTTTTTCCGCGGCGGCATGTGTATACAATTCGACGCTTTTATTTTCATCCCTTATGTAAAAAGTATTTGCTGTTTCTAGATTGTCTCCTTCAACTACTTGTAAATTTTCCACCATAAACATGGCTCGTAGTCGGTACATAGGACCGGGTATCAGTCTTATTGAACAGAGTAATAATAAATCACTAAACTGAAAAAAGATATAAATAAATAATTATTTAACAAATTAAAGAAAAAAAAGAGAAAGAATAATTTCACGAATATTTTATAAACATCAATATATTACGCGGGCATCGTGCGCATATAATTAATTAATCTTTACCAGAAATAAATGTCTTTCCTGATGATCGCCACTACGCGCTGAAATTTTTACTATACGTCCTTCCTTTACTAGTTCACGAGTCGCACTAACTAGATCAGTTGCATCATATATACTCTCTTGGATTTCTAAGAGTTTTTTAAATTTATCGATTTTTTTCATTGCCTCATTCGTATGATTCGCTGCAGTGGATACCAATTCTAGAGCTTCTGAAATTTAACATTACAAAAGATTTTTTATTGATATAATTATATGATTCATCTAAATATGTAGAATGTGCAATTACAAAAAATATAAATTTACTCACTTTGTGTATCTTCATAATCTGGATTGTCTTCAGTGAGATTTCGTAAATAATCCTTAAGAAGCAACTCGTATCGTGGTAGCCTCTGTATTGGACTCAACATGTGATGGGCAAGTGATAATTTAGCGCATTCATCGAGCTTTTGAATCTCATTAATAATTGCTGCAAATCTGGGCACTTTGTTTTGCAGCGTGTTTATCAGATTCATAGCGTAATCAAAATTCTTTACGTATTCCGTATACATCTTGAGGAATGGTGCAAAGTTTTTCATTATGTCACCAATTTTCGGATTCGAATCCCAATATTGCATTCTCTCCTCGAGTTGTGG